TATTTTGGTTTTCATTTTATTTCTTTAAATATTTTTTTTAGCATTTTTATAATTTTTGTTGTATCATGTGTCACACCTGCATATATCTCGATGGCTGCTGCAGTTAAAAAGATAGGTGATTGGTTGGCAGGTGTTCTCATCTCTCCTCCTCTTTCTCTCCTCTCTCTTGCCCTTCTCAACTCCTAGTGGAGTATAGCCCATCAACATAGTTACCTCCTTTTAAACTATAGTGTACATCTATGCCCATCAACAACATTTCTCAAGCGAAGCCTATCCTCTGCATTATTTTCTAGCTGTTTCTATGATGTCCCTGCCTTTTCTTTTTCCGCACGTAGCCTACCGCCGCTCGCCTCCATGTCATCTTTTGTCTTCCTTTCTTACGCTTTCCTTGTGGATTCCACGTGAAAGCCTGTCTGATGATGCTTGTCGGGGGTCACCTCACTCCTCAGGGTGTGTCAAATCCATTTCCATTTCTTCGCCTGTACGTCTTCCTTTACTGGCCTTTGGCTTGTTCTTTCCCTCAATAATTTTGTGACTCGATCGTGCCTCCTCTTTCTGTTAAAATTTTGTGTTAATTACTCTTTCGTACCACATCTAATCTTCGGCACTTACGTGACCCCGTTGCCGTAAAACCCTTACAAGAACAAAAAACTAAAAAGATTGCGAAATACCTGTTGATTTACCTCAATCGTCTGTGTAAATTGATATAAAGGGGAAAAATAATTTTAAAAATAAACCCAACCTCACCCCCCCACCCCACCCCTTTGCAAACGCTCATGCGTGGCAATGTATTTCGACACTCTTACTCTTATTCATGTGTGTGTGTGTATGTGTGTGTGTGTGTGTGTGTGTGTGTTTTGTTGTGTTTTTTCTCTTTCTTTCTTTCCTTCTTTTGTTCATGTGTCGTACGTGACTGCCGGGCGGAAAGAAACACCCACCTCAACACTCCCATGTCAAGAACCACGTAAAACACAACACTGCAATTTTTTAGGCTGTGCCCAAAATAATTTTTTATAAGGAAGAATGTCAACGAGACAAGAAACAGAAGAAAAAAATAATTAACATGTCCCCCTGTTGCAGTTACTTTGTCTCTTCTCTTAATAAATAAATAATATAATTTAAAATGTGTGTCTTAAATTAAAACAAAAATTAATAGTAATAATAATGGTTATATTAAGCTTAATAACATCAATAGTAGTAATAATTATAATAATAACATGAAA